TCTCAAAACAATCCACTGCATTTTTAATCTACAATAGGTAGCAATGTTATTAGTCATTTTAAAATTCTGCATCCAGCTCCAATAATCAAATTGTTCAAAAACTGCTTATTCACTTATTCATAACTTTTCGGAGCATCATTTTAAAATTTGTTTACACATTTTTTTCCTTTTAAGCCTTTCTTTAAAAGAACAGTATTCTCAAGCAATGATATCTAAAAATTCTATAAATCTAAAAAATATCTATAAATGATTATTCAAACTTATAAGGAAAACTAAATACTGTACATGGGGTAAAAGGTAAAATACTATCATTATTGCAACATAAAATCCATGAAAAATTACTTAGACAAATAACTTACTGCATGGTGCTGCAGGTTAAGCACTCGACCATAATGTTGTTTTGAACCACAAGGTCAGTGGTTCAAACCAACTAGCTGCTCCTTGGAAATGCTATACTGGATTCCTATGAGTTGGAAATAACTCACTGGCACTTTACAAACAATAACAATCACCCCAAAAAGCATAAAACTTACCAAGTCAGGAAAATTATTGTTTAAATGTTGTAGAAGTTATCAGAACATCTTAAGGTGCACAAAAATCACTACTTAAATGTTGTTAAGTGCTGTCAAGTGGGTTCCTACCCATGATGACCCTGTAGAGAGTTTTCTGAGGAGCAGCTGGTGAGCTCCAGCTGCCGGCCCTGTGGTTATGCAGTCCAGAGCATTAACCCACAGAGCCACATTAAGTAGTCAGAAATATTTGTTTTTAAGACAAAATTCAAATAGTGACAAAAACGCAATTTTAATAGCCATTAAAACATTACCATACAGCAATGAGCATAAATGGCAGAAAATATGGAAAAAGGGCCCGAAAAAAAAAGTTAATGAAAATATAACTTTAAAAAGATTCAGAAAACTTTAGAAGTCAGGAAAATTATTTTAATTATACAAAAATTATTAGAATACCCTAAGGTGCACAAAAGTGTCTGCTACTTAAATGAGTGGTTAGAAATACTTCTTTTCAAGGAAAAGTTCAAATAGTGTCAGACACCCAATTTTAACAGTCATTAAAACACAATCAAGCAAACGATGAAGGCAATGGAAGACACAGGGAAGAGTCTAAGAGTTAAAGTTAATGGAGGTAAATACTGTTAACTGTTGGTAAATAGAAGGGACTGCAATCCTTGCAATGACTCAAAGTGTAGTATTTTGTTGAATGTGGGACTCAATTCACAATAAAAAGTAAAAAACCCACAAAACCACCCAAGCACTAGCAGGTATAATTGGCTGAAAATATAAGAGAAGGGGGGAAAGATCTGGGGGGGAAAAAAAAGTTAAAAGCTACAAAACGTGCAAAAATAACTTAAAAAAAATCCTATTTTCAAAGAGCCTTATTCAGAGACCAGGCAGGAAAAATAAACACAAATATGATATTCTGTCTGCTTGATCCAGTTAAAAAAAGTTACATGTAAGTATTACTTAAAATAGTATTATTTCCCAGTAATTTCTATAGTAATATAGCTATGTGAATGGAGTCTTGGTGTGGCACTGTAGTTATCACCAGTGGACTGTGAACCACAAGGTCAGCGGTAAAAACCATCAGCCACTCCTTAGAAACCCTGTACAGGATTGCTAAGTGTGGAAACTCAATGGACGACACTTAATACAGCTAGTGTCCTGGTAGTGCAGTTAAGTAAAAGACATGGCAATCTGCTCCCAAGAAAATCCTATGGGGCAGTTCTCCTGTCACACTAAATCACAATGCGTCAGAATTGACTCAAGGGCACCTAACAACGTCATCAACAACAACAATAGTGCTATGTGGTTTAGAATTCTATTTCCAGGTTCAACATTCATTCACCAGCTGTATAATCTTGAGCAAGTTTCTTCAATTCTCTGTGTCATAATCTCCTTATCTCTAAAACTGGGAGAACAATGGTACCTACCTCACAGAAATATTACACAACATGAGTGCATTTGTGTGGGTTTATTATATGTACATGCATATATCTGGAGTACTGGTATAGTGCTGTAGGATTAGCACTGAATTTGCTAACTGCAAGAATGGAGATTCAAACTCACCAGCCGCTCCTCAGAAACCCTATACAAGGTTGCTATGGGTCGGAACCGACTTCATGGCACTTAACAACACACATGTATAACATTTTTATTGTTGTCTTATTGCTGTTATGCTTACTATCACCTATCCCAAGAATTCTAGTTATAAATTGATATCTAGTTTAACCAGTTTAAATTTATCAAACTACTTTATCTATATTAAAATTTCTCATCTAGTAATAAATGTGCTTCATGAAGAAAGATATTTTTTACATAGACTAACAAGGAGTTACGAACATAAATCAATATTTCAAGGTACTTGAAACAGCTGTTAAGATAGAAAGATATTTGTAGTTTATCTTGATAGTCATAAACCTTGTTTGTTGCCTACAATGGAAATTAAATTACAATTAGAGGTTAGTGAAAATAATACTTCCCCCCGCCTCCCCTTCAACCAAGGACCCAGAATTTTTGAATTCTACCAAGAGATCCAGATTAAGAATTCACGGTTTAGAGCAGTGTAAAATAAGTTTTGGAGCCAGAGAGGAGGTAAACTTCAGACTTTAGTCCCCACATTATTTACACCTGAATGACTTTAGACACCTAACTTCTCTGTTTCCTTCCTTAGAATAATTACTATATATCATGATGTTGGTTAACAATATGTCACATGAGTAGTGTACATTCAATTTCAAATACTTAAGGACATTGTTAGTTTTTCAATAAAACTCATTACATGAGAAAAAGAAAACATAAACTCAAGTATTAACATTAAAAAAAAAATACAAATTCTCAAAGAAAATTATTCATGGAGAAACCCACTTTGGCACTGTAGGATAAGCACTGGACTGCAAGGTCATTTGAACTGCAAGGTCGATGGTTCAAATTCAACAGTGGCTCCTCAGAAACCCTGTACAGGGTTGCTATGAGTTGGAAACGACTCTACAGCACTTAGCAACAAGATGTGGTAGAGTTTGTAAAAAACCGGGTTGTTGTTAAAGTCATCGAGTCAGTTCTGGCCCATAGCAACCCTACATAGGTTTTCTGAGGAGTGGCTGATGGGTTTGGACCCTTGACCTTGCGGTTAGCAGTCCACTTGCTTTCCATACAGTGCCACACTAAATTGCTAGAAACTGAGCCATGACTTGACATTTGACTGACCTGGGTTTATCTCTCAGTTACACTACTTTACTAGCTGCAAGAATTTTGGGCGAGTGACTTAACTTCTCAGTTTTCTCATTTGTAAACCGCTGTAAATGTTGTTTTAGAAATAGGAGAGGATCTAGCTTAAAAATTCAATAAATTGGGCTATTATTAAAGATCACAGTTTTACAAAGTCAAAAGAATCATTTTGGAATTCAAACGTTTATTTTGGCATTATGCTGATATAATTAACCTTCACAATTTTTTTTCTGCCCAGCAAAATACATAAGCACTTAAAACCTACAACATTTACAAAGCATAACATTCCTAAAACAAACTGGCATTGCTTAAAATCCTAACTGATATCTTATCCTGCTGAAGGAAAACAATGAGAATTAAAAACAAACAGAACAGACTCAGTAATCTTAAATCTTTTCACGAAAAAAAAAAAAAACAGAATGGGCTCAATAATTTAAAATCTTTTCATGAAAAAGATAAACAAAATGGGTTCGGTAATTTAAAATCTTTTCATGTTTTGCTTGGTATGTTTCAATGAATGATTTATTATGAAAGTTGAATATATGCTGTCTTTTCTAAACCTAAAGATCTCAACTTTATCAACTATCCATAGTCGGTTAGGTTTGTTTTTTAAATGAAACCATTTATTTACTTTATGAAGAAATATCACAGAGTAAGCACCCCCCACTAAAAACCCCCCAAAATATCGCCACAGAATGGTTTCAGCTCACTTAATCCAATATACAACCTGCAAATTCCTTTCTTCATTGAAGATTTTATGGGCATAGTTAACAAATGCCAAGTTGCGAAGTTGCAGCTTTGCTGGTTTGACGTTTTCACAATAGAAGAACAATATGATCTGGAATCTACTCAAAGCATTAGCCAGGCAGTCAGCTGATGCTCACTGCACACAAGAGACCGGCAGGAGTAAGAGAATTAAACTCTTATTTGTATACAGCAGGTATCATCTACTATCATTAAAACTAAAATATGCCAACAGCAGACGTTCCACTTAAAGTAATGAAAGTATTGCTACTGTTTAAATGGCACTCAAAATCTGTTTTCGCTGGACCTTGTTTCTCTCATTCCTGGAATTTTCCTGTAAAGGACTTTTATCAGTTCATAAAACCAACCCTTCATCACGCAGACGCTGCCTGAGTAACTTTTACAAAAGGTCAAAGCGGTGCCTTTCAAGGATTCCAAAACCATCTTGGCTTCTACTTCAGTAACAGTAACTCATTTCCCACCCAAAGAACGTTCCAGAGACCTCGGGACGGGGGCCGAACAAAACCCAGTGGCTAAAAAACAGCTTTCCCTTTTCTTTTCGAAATCTTGTACTGAATTTCACGTTCCTCCCGCGGCCCCACATGTTGCTCGCCTCCCTCCCAGAGGGCTCCGCGAGGCCTGGCTTCACCCCCCGGAACGCGCCCACCTGATTACTCTTTTCTCCCACAGACTCCGCCCCCCATAACTCCCCCCTCACCTCCGCCTGTTTGACTCCTTTTGGAGGTCCATATGGGACACTTTCCCTTTCCTGTTTGTCACGCCACACCAGACAAGCCCTCAATTCTCTCCTTCCACTGGCAACGACTCCCACAGCTTCCCAAAGTACTATGCGTTCGCAGAGCGAAGCTGCAGGCCCGCACGGCCCAGGTGCTGTGTCAGCCTATCTGCCGGTGCCACGGCGTGTACGGCCTGGAAAGTCACATGGCGGTGGGACCCGCCGACGACTCTACACTCCTGCTTTCCTCAGGGAAGGATGAAATTACCAAGTCCACTCACCTCCACGAAGAGCAACATGACTTCCTCTGCTCGGCCCAATTGTTCCCGCCGCCGCGACTCCAACCGGCTCACAGGCCCGATTCCCAATCGCTAGGATAAGGACACTCGCCTTACCCCTCCACCCGGCAAAGGATCCGACTCCTCCCCCGCCGTCAGCCGCTGCGGCCTGACCCGCCCAGTCTCACCTCCCTTAAAACAGCAACTGTTTCCGGTGCTACAGAATAATTGTTTCCGGGAGAAGAGGAAAATCCCTCCGAGTGCTCAACTTTTGCACTATCTTTTCCCGCAGCCGTATGGAATGTACTATTATCCGTCCTGGGAGCGGGGGGAGTGGGGGAGTGGCCATCAGAGGAAGGCACCATTCTGATGCGAGGGTGTGTGAAAAACTTACTGACGCATTTTATCTCTTGCCAAACAGACACCTATCACAGAGCCATAATAATTTCGCAGTTAGCAAAGTTCAAAATCTAGCTCTGCTAAATAGCCGAGATCGTGCGAAGCTTACTGAACGAAAGCCCAATTCTGTTAAAAACGTGGTGGCTCACCGAGGAAAAAGTTGTTATTAAATAAATAACAGTAGTAGAAATAAATATGTTAATTACAGCCACTGTATATTGAACTCCTACTATGTGCCAGTACTGTTCGACGCGTTTTACGTGAATTAATCGTCAAACAATCCTATGTAACATTATTATCCCCATTTTACAGTTGAAGTCGCCTTCTGGAAAGCGAGTCTCCCTTAGGCACGCCTTTTAAACTTTGCCCAATGTTCTCTTGAATCAAATACTCACATCTATGGCGCTCCGGCAAGGAGCTCTGGTAGCGAAGTGGTTACAAATCGGGCTGCTAACATTAAAGATCAGCAGTTCGAAACTACCACCGGTACCGAGGGAAAAAGATAAGGCTTTCTCCTCCTGGAAAGATTTACAGCCTCAGAAACCCTATGCAGGGTCTCTCTGAGTCAGAACTGACTACACGGCAGGCACACTATCACTTTTAATATGTTGTTGTTATGTGCCCTGGAGTCGGTTCCGACTCATAGTGCTGCACAGGGTTTCCGAGCCTGTAAATCTTTACGGGAGCAGAAAGCCTCACCTTTCTCCCGTGAAACAGCTGGTAGTTTTGAACGGCTGACCCTGAGGTTCACAGCCCAATTCGTAACCACTACGCTACCAGAGCTCCGTTACATAGTATTAATGTGCTACCTAGTCTCTAATCACTGCTAGGAATTGATGGAATAAACATTGACATGTTTCAAGAAAGTGAGGCGCCACAGGAGGTACTCACTGATCTCTGCCAAGAAATTTGGAAGACAACTATCTGGCGGACTGATTAGAACAGATCCGTATTTGTGCCCATTCCAAAGAGAGGTGACCAAACAGAATGTGGAAATCATCAGATAATCTCTTTGATATCCCACGTGAGTAAAGTTATACTCAAGGTAATACTGAAACCAAGCTAATACTGAAACCGCTGCAAGCGTACATTGACAGAGAACTTTTAGAGGTGCAAGCCGAATTCAGAAGAGCCCAGGGAACGATGGGTCTTAACTGAAAGCAGAGAATATTAGAAAGATGTTTACCTGTGCTTTATTGACTACGAAAAGGTTTTCAATTGTGTGGATCATAACAGGCTATGGACAACATTGCGAAGTATGAGTATTCCATAACACTTAATTGTTGTACTCATGAGAAATCTGTACATGGACCAAGAGGCAGTTGTTCAAACAGAACATAGGAACACTGAATGGTCTAAAATTAAGAAAGGTGTGCGACAAAGTTGTATTCTTTCACCATACTTATTCAACTTGTATGCTGAGCAAATAATTCGAGAAGCTGGGTTATATGAAGAAAAATGTGGCATCAGGATTGGAGACTTATTAACAACCTGCGATATGCAGCTGATACAACCTTGCTTGCTGAAAGTGAAGAAGACTTAAAATATTTACTGATGACGATCAAAGAGCACAGCCTTCGGTATGGATTACATCTCAATATAAATAAAACAAAAATCCTCACCACTAAACAACATTCTTATCAATGGAGAAAAGATTGAAGTTGTCAAGGACTTCATTCTTCTTGGATCAACTATCAACATGCATGGAAGCAGCAGTCAAGAAAACAAACGGCATATTGCATTAGGCAAATCTGCTGCACAAGACCTTTTTAAAGTGTTGAAGAGCAAAAATGTCAGCTTGAGGACTGAAGTGTGCCTGACTCAAGCCTTGGTATTTTCAACAACCTCATATGTGTGCGAAAGCTGGACAGTGAATAAGAAAGACCATAGAAGAATTGATGCTTTTGAGTTATGGTGTTGGAGGCGAATATTTAAAGTGTCATGTCTGCCAAATAGATCCGTTATGGAAGAAGTGCAGCCAGAGTGCTTGGAGGCCAAGATGGCCAAACTTTGTCTCTCATACTTCAGCCATATTGTCAGGAGACCCAGTCGCTGGAGAAGGATATCATGTTTGGTAAGGTGGAGGGTCAGAGAAAAAGAGGAAAACCCCCAACGAGATGGATTGGCCAAGTGACAGCATCGATGGACTCAAGTGTGGCAACGGTAGTGAGGTTGGCCCAGGATCGGGCAGTGTTTCGTTCTGCTGTGCATAAGGTCGCTATAAGTTGGTACCGACTCGATGGCACCTAACAACAACAACAATTTGCTCAAAAGTCTTCCTAAAGTAAAGGTTTTGTTTTCACAAACTGCTGCTATATCCATTCAAGACCTTTTAGTTTTGATCCCATGTAATCTCCTCACTTTCATTCTTAGATACCAAAATCATCCCATCATCAAATGCCCTGGCATATTCCCTTACTTCATATTTCCTTTAAACCCATCTGTTCTGAATACAAATTATCACTTACCTCCAAAGCCATGGCTCAAGATGTCTTCCCTATCTGGAATGTCTTCATTTGCCCATCAGCCGTCTCTCTCCATGAGGTTTCCCCAAAGACTCTGCTGCCCACAGATACCTTCTTCATGTCCTTTGTTAGCACTTGATAGTTATATTCTATCTTAAATTTTTTCTTTTCAATTTTTCAGTTTCTTCACAGAAATCCTATCATGTATGATTTACAGTTTAGGATAATGGTAGTCACATTGTAGTGTCTCAACAAATTGAAAGGGAAGGAGACATGTTCAAAGTTTACTTTAAAAAGCCTTCACTTCCAGTTGTTGATGAATTCCATGCTGCATGAAAATAGAAAAAGTGTGCAATAATGCTAAATCAATTTAGTTATCAAGCATTCATGCTGCCTTGTGATTTTCCTGCAGGGTAAGCAATGTAAATAAATCAAGAGAAAGGAATATTATTTAAGAATCTGACAGTTATTACCGAGAAGGTATTTAAACAGTTGAGAAATGTTGAGTAATAATGGATATCTTAAGGAAACCTTACATTTATAAAAATAAATAATTCTCCTTGTTGATGTTTCTTTCAGAACCCGTTATGATCCTCCTTATGTAAATAGATTTAATTATGGTTTATAGAAAAGGAAGGATAATATTTTTTAACTGAGGAGGGCATCTAAAAAAATAAAGAATTTTTTCCTCAAGCTTTGAAAATCTTCCATAAGAAAAGGAGTCTGAGACCATACTGGATCCCCAAATTTTAAATAGTTTCTGAGTAAGAATATGAAAGATGTTAGAAAAATAAAAATAAAGTACAGCATCTAGTCTTGAGAAGTTCAAGGACTAGTAGATAGAGGCCATTAAGAAATACTTACATGTCAATGAGATAAGTACTATAATTAAAATTGTATGAAGTGCTTTGGGCACACAGAAGAGGGTATAACTTAAACTATGAGAAGGGAAAATATTAAATTTGCTCTTTCTACATTAACATTTCTCAAAGATATTTGCTTGATGATTCTTTGCCTCCCTTTCTCTGAAGGATTAAAACATATAAATTGTTTAATATAAGTTTACAAGGTCTCAACATAGGAAATTCATTCTATGTGGCAGGTACATGGCTATTTGTTATACGATTTCTTGTACTGCAAAATATTTTTTAAATTAAAAAACACGTCCCTTAAACAATCAATAAATAAGGAGACAGTGCAGACCCGGTCAGGAGGCCAAGCCCCTGTGGGCCCAAGCGTTGTTGACCGTCCAAACCATAGGCTCTGAGGATCAGACTCTAGCCACCTAGTAGACATAGCAAACTGTCCCTCATCTGATTATTCAGTAATGCTTGTTAGTAATCTCATACATGAGCCCTGGATATCCACAGACAAAT